GCAGGAGTCAAAAAATTAAACTTCACTCATCGTGCTATTAAAAACAACCTGGAGAATTTGGAGCTGTCAGGTTCAAATTCCCATAAGCTGCTGAACACAACAGAGCAGACATGCGAGTGGAGCAGAGAGATAAAACACGGCATCTATTCTTACGAGTCCTCTTTGAAACTTCTCTACAGTGTGCCTCTGAGATGGAGCTTCTTTACTCCCTGCAGAGCTGTTCCAGCATCTCCTCTCCCAGGAGAGATTTGCAGAGCGAGACAAACACCTTGGCTTTCTCTGCGGCTGTGTGTTCTCCAAAACTCGCCCCAGGCAACTTTAAATTAATACCTAGCACTGCCTTTCCCCTGATAATTATGCATCATCACCCATGAATGCTACAAACCGAGGTTGTTTAGTGCTTTTATAATCGGGCTAAACTGTTCTACAGTGCTGGAAATAATGAATGTTGCTGCATCTTTTAGAGACATCTCTGCAATTACAGGGAGCTGTGCCGGTTCATAATATGTACATGTTATTACAGCGCTGTACCTTCCGGCTATGGTTCCTTTTGTTGTAAGCAAGGAAGCTATCTGTGCTTGCTTACAACCAGGACAGGCTTTGTTCGCTACTACTACAACAAGCAGAACACTGCTCTTCTCTCAATAATGGGCAGAATGACAACCCTGTGAAGGTTCATAAGCAACAACAATACTCCAAGGCTCGCTGAATGGCAGAGGCATGTCACCCCCGTCGCTGCAATACACGCCCTCTGTTGCAAGGAGGCTGCGATGAGCCGGGAATTCAATCCCGACATGATAATTGCTGTCAAATTACAGCCGTCCACCAACAATTATGATGGGTGCTGACGGGTGAAGTGTGCTCGCCTTCCAATCACCCTGCACAGCATGTTTATAGGCTGGAGACTGAGGGAATACACACAGGAATACACACACACCAACACAATTGACTATTGTTCAAGGTCCCTCGGTCAAGCAGCAGTGTTCCATTAACACACAATTGTTGTGCTGGTTGGGTTTTTAAATGCTATACGATGAACAGGGAACTTTGTCCCTTGTGTAAATGTGTCTTCTTTTATCACACACCAGTAACTCATCATCAGCCTCTGAGCCACATGCACCAGAGGGAGATTTCTACAGGCTTTAAGGCATGGCAGTGGATGCCAAAAGGATGAGAAATCTGTGAAGAGGAGCAGATTAACAATTGAGCCAATTACATCTTTATGTAAAAGGGATGTGTGACTGTCTGAATAGGACCACTTGAAAGAAAAGGACATAAAAGGAGTCGCAATTGTATCGACAAAGATGCAAATAATTTTGTTCAGTATATAAATAGTCCCGTCTTTGGTGCAGCATAGCCCAAATACTTTGCGGTGTTGCAAGAGACTATTATTTATGACCTGAAAGCAGACGCAAGTGGACCACATTGGACATGAATTTACAGTATGAAGGCCAAAATTATATTTAAATAATAGGCTATGACACTTCCACAGTAGACATTTTGACTAGTCCTATAAAAAGCACAGGTGTTACTAATTACTTTAATGACCGTTGTGTTGCATTTGAGTGTTTCAGTATGAGTGACTAAATGCTAAGCATCATTAATTAAATTATTTACACGTGTGCTTTTCCTACTGTGACAAGTCCAAATGTCTACCGTGAAAATTACCCATTTGTACCTTTATGTCATAGATATCGACCTTTCTTTCTTTCTATAAACAAGACTAAAGTCAAAGTGTTATAGAGCATTGTTGCTAAAGTCAAGCTAGCTGCTTTGTGAGAAAAAGGAATGCTAATTTAAGTTTGCTAGCATGCTAATGTCTAGCAGGCTCGTCAGTTCACAATGTAGACACGCCGTAATTATAGTTAATAAAGCATAGCCTAATGCATTTTTCTAAACAATAAACATAACATAATAATAATTTCACTATCAATGTATCCAGTGGCGTTGTATGTACACAAATGGAAAATGCTTCGGACCACCAAATAGACCAATTTGACATATTTCCCCGTGTCCGAAAAAAAGTTCAACACTTATTATTATAAATGGCTACATACTGTACCTGTTGTTCTGCTGAACTTTTACTGCTCAATTCCTCGTTCGTATGCGCTGTCAATTAGCTCTTGACCCCCATGTTTTCCTGAATAACCAATTCATGTTAATTCGGTTTTATTTTACGGATGGTTTATTAATTCAAGCTTATTTAAAAGAGAGCCTTTGACATTTGTGCTGTAGAAGATATTCTGCATCGTCCATGTTGTCGAGCGACAATTATTACTTTTATTTATGAGATACTTCGTTGTCCAGAAACTTCCGTCAACTGAATTTAATGACAGCACCTGGTACGGTACTTGGTAAACAACCAATCAGATTACAGCTGGGCAAATGACAACAAGACCCTCGTGGCATCACATTTATGACATCTGCAGAATCGTTTTTTAAAGAAGAACGGGACAACATGTACAAATCCAGGGTAGAGACATTTGTATTTACTTCAAGGATTAAGTATGGGTAGTATTATACAGGTCATTTTATTTAAAGGAACATTTCATAATCATATCCCTAAAAAGAGATGGGCTGACTCCAAACCAAAAACTAAAACCCCATATAGTAGCACTATTACAAATATTATGAATAAAAAAGCAATCAAAACTAATTAATCTGAATTATGAAACTGTAATTTTCCTATTTTTTTTTCTTTATTTACTTTTGGTAATTTTGTATTACTTTATATGTCTACCCCTGATGTTAACTTTTTTGTAAACAAAATATATAATATTCATTATATTCTTGAATAAATAAATAAAAAAATATTATGCTTTCATAACTGAATACTCTGTGCTTGCACATTGTTGTTTCCTCAATTCCAACATTCAAGGAGCCTGACAATGCGAGCATGTTGAAGTAAACACTACCTTTAAGGTATACTCGATCAAATATTAGAATATTCATAACAAATGACCATGTTTTATTTCAGGAATTCTATTTTTAAAAGACACCAAATGCATCAGTATATTTAAGTTTATCCTAAACAAAAATGTTGAGCAGATTACCAGGCTGTTATACAGTAGCAAATGTAACTACAATACTTAATCTTAACATTTCAAGTATGAAAAAAACCTTTCTCACTAAGTAAATGTGCTTTCAAATGGCGATTGATATACATTGATATGGTTCCCGCCAACTTTTGCTAGTCCTTCCCTAAATCAATTTTCTTTCCAGAGTAGGAAATGAGCCTGAGTCAGGCAATTTAAGTTGATTACTCAGGGTACATTATGTCTCGTCCTTTATGAACTCTGCAGCACCAGGATAGTGTTTTGTGTAAGTGAACATTCAATACCTGGTGAAATAAGACAAATACTTATACTCAAGGTCTCTTTACATAGAAATCAGTCGAGAAATATTACATAGGGCAGTTTATTGAACTTGTAAATGTGTTAGATGTCATTATGCATGACCTTAGTTTTTCTACACTCACAAAACCATAAAAGTTTGAACATTTATAATAATAATTTGCTGCTTCAACATTACATTCAAAGCTGTAAATTGTTATAGCTACATTTTGTTAAAAACACAATATTTACATTAATTGTAATACACACATTTTATATTTGGCATACTTACATTAATCTCATTATATCATTTACAGGTTCTCAAGTACTGATTAATGTGAATATTTAATCTAAAAAATTCACAACAAATCAAAAAGGAAATCAACCATACAAAAATGTAACATACAAACAATACTAAAGCTAACCCCCGCCCCCCCCGCCCCAAAAGATATTGGTGCACGGAATAGATTTATGCCCTCTATTTTACAAAACAATGTAAAATGTGCTTGCAACAGAACGCTTACTTCACTGCAGCAATGCATTGTGGTTGAACTGAACAACTTTATAGCGTACAGTCAACTCACGTCCATCTTTTAATCAAACACAAAGTAAATCTCAACTGTACAAATATTTAACAATGATTAGTTTGTAAATATTTCTTCAATAGAGTGTCAGTCCTCGTGTGTTTAAGGTGACGGCTGACAGTGAAAACTCTGTTCCAATTACTGCTTTGTCAAATAGAGAGGCCATGATGACAGTTCTGGTCTAAATACAGATGATACATTTTGTTTGTGCTTGTCTTGTGTTACAGTTTATTTTTGACTTTTGGGTAAAAAATCGAATTATTTCTTAATAAAGTATTTTTAGTTGAGCAGTTCCAAGCTTTTTGATTCCAGGTCCCAGTTACAAAAATGTCTTTACACCACATTGTACATTTTCCTTTGGCACAATACTTGGTAACCCCATCTAAAGATCTGTTGTCATGTACATCATGCAGGAGCGATAGGGTGTGTTCGCATAAATTGCAATGGTCAAAAAGCAAAGCATGCCAGTTTTTCCTCGGTTTGGTCCAGGCGCATGATTTCATTGTTAATTGGGGACATTTTTGGTAAAGAAAAAAGGGGAGTAGAGAGGTTTGTAAAGGTGGAAACTTCCCACTGAAAACCGCTTATGTTTTCAAATAAAAATAAAACAGTGTGAAGTTAAAGGGGACCCATCATGCAAAATGCACCTTTGTACGTCTTTTATACATGAATATGTGTCCCCGGTGTTCCAGGGAACGCACCAAGTGTCAGAAAACACAACCCTCTCTCTTTTCCTCCATAACCAAATCTGTAAAAACGGGGCTTTAACGGATCTGATACAGACTGATACAGATTTGAAAATAGTGTGACGTCGGTGACGACGAGCTCTGCCTATATGGCCAACTCTCCACCTATCAGGGGAATGAGAGGCTGCCGTGGCATGGTAACAGCATGGTAACAGCATGGTAACAGCATGGTAACAGCATGGTAACATGACGCTCGTAACTCGGCCTCCTCCTTTGCAGGTGGGCGTGGTCAGCTGCAGCGCATGCAAAGACAGGGCTGGAGGAGAGCAAAATAGAGCGAAATGAGGCATGGCTAAAATGCATGATCTGTTTGGTATTTTGAAAAAGAAAACGTATAAATATACCTTATGTAGGTATGGCCCTACAATATATTATTCAAATATTGCATGATAGGTCTCCTTTAAATAAGCCTTACAATTGCTGTTACTAAAATGTCCTAATTGCTGCTTAAAAATCTGTATTTTAAAAGATGGCAGCTTTTTTAAAAAGGAATACTAATTATTTGTACCATTGCTTGTGTAGCTATGACTATGGGAACACACCCGTATCTACTGCACTTTACTGAAATGCATACTCGAGGTCTCTAGCACCTTTCTAGCCATATAGTATACAAATGTACGGAGTCATAAAAAAAAAAAACGTGCAAGACCCACGGATAAAAGACTGTTTCCAATACTTAAGGCAAAAACAATTGTCATATATACCAATATACATATATTTGAGATTATTACATCTATCAAAACTGTGTTTTTCTAGTGGGTTCTGGTATATGTTGCTTGGTGACCTGTTATACATACTAGAGCTAAAAGTGCGGTATGACCAAGTCAAAGTCAATGCAATGCCCTCTAGTAAATACAAAAAGAAACTTTCCTTATTTGGCAGTTCCTTCAGTTGTTCTTTTGCCTGCCTGTTAATATTTAGGTCTTTTATTGGAGTGTAGATCAGGAATGCCAAACTGAAGATCACAAATAAAAACAAGTGAGTGCCCAGTAGAAAAGTGCAAAATACGCCAGTGTGTTTCTTCTCCAGACCCCGGACCAGCACCTATAGCTGGGACACCTTCCTGGGCAGAGGCCTTGGTCGGGGGACTCGGGGGTCGGAGGTCCCGTCCAGCTTCATGCTGCCTGTGCGGAGCTGGTGAGGCTTGGGTGGCAGGGCAGGGGGGTCCACCTGTGGTGGGATGGAGAGGCTGTGGGGCAGCGGCACGGGCCTGCGGGGGTTGTTCCTCTCGTACACGCTGTAGGGGGGAGGCGTCTTGTTCTCTCTGCGGATGGGCTCGTCGGAGCTGCTGGAGACGGAGTTTGGCATGGTGGAGGGGGGGGCCAGCGGGTAGAGGGGGTGGTCTCCTGCATTCAGCTCGGTGCCCGACGCCTCCGACACGCTGCAGCGACTGAGGGACGAGATGCCGCTGCTGTAAGAGCCCGAGAGCACCGGGGAGCTGGACACCAGGCTGGTGGACTGGCACTCAGTGGGCGAGGGGGTGAAGGGCGGCACTGTGGTCTGGGGAGAGAAGAAATGAAAAGAAGATCAAATTATATTTCTTCATGAGAAATCTAATAAGCTTTTGATGTAGTAATTCACAACCTTTTTGACCCTTGAAATCAAGCAGTTCAAGATATTAGACAACAAACGAATACAAAATGAATTATTAACCATTTGAATGATCAATTATTCATTTGAATAGATTCTAAAACACTTGCTTTTTCCAACCATAAAAGCAAAGCATTCCCTGTTTCCAGATTCTCTTTTGTAATAATTCATTGCTTTTCTTTGTCTAACAGTCACAGCAAACTAGAACCGCAAGTAACGGTTATTTTAATCATCGATTGTTTTCTTACTACTTTTAATGAAATGGTTTGGTCTATAAAATATGAAATAAATTGTGCAAAGTGCATATCACACAGTCTGAGAGCCCAAGGGACAGACATATTATAAATGGTTGATGAATATAAATCTTTATTAGATGTACAGAAAGTGATTTGCTTCCAAAGCAGAAACTAGAAAATAAATGCAACTGTTTCTCCGTGAAATAAATGGGAGATTGAGCATTAATGCAAATTAAAATCAATCGTCAAGCAGTTTTTACTCGATACCCCGGTCACTTCTACCAAAAGCGTGGATTTGAATTATTTTATCCTTATTTTGGATAAGTAAAGGGAACTATCATTTCACAAAAAGAGGGAAACACACAAGTTTAAAGCCTTAAAAAACACGAAAAGGCCTTATTGAAGGATCATGGAAGCATGCAGCCATATTGTGCTTTCTCCAACATGTGTGCTGACACAGCCCTACAGCGACGATAAATATTTCACCAAAGGGAGAGTGTGTGAACAGATTGAGAGGGCCAGGTTTTTACACTCCATCAAGCGGCCCTGTGCACCGAGACGAAAAAACACAATATGCCCCCCTCAAAAACCCGATCACTCATCAAAATGTTTTTCTAAGCAATTACACCATGGGGCCGTTATATCTGCTAAAACTTAATTGGATGTAGTGGAGTATACAATTGATCAGTAGGATTGTATTGTTCATGGTACGGGGGGCACGCATTAAGAGATGTATCCATTTGACATGCACGAGCACGACTGGACAAACCCTTTTTTTCACATGTGGCCCGAGAGCGATGGAAATCCATGTGTTTAATAAAGTGCTGACGAGCGGTTTTAAACTCGTGACCCAGTGCAGGGGAACGTTACCACTGAATATGGTTTCTACACTGCAGCACCATGTGTTGTCTGAAAGTCCTGGGCTTTGTGGTGTGGTAATGGGCCCCCGGCTGCACTGACTGCGTGTGTGCAGAGCATGTGGCCTGCTGCAGGTCCACGGAGGACCCATATCTGACTTTGCTCTGATGGGCAGCATGGTACTTCGCTGCAGGCCTCTTCTACTGCAACACACAAACGTGCCGACATGCACACTGGCACGAATCTGATTGACAGGGCATGCTGAGTGCTGGGCTGTCACTCAAACTTTGGTTTCCAGAGTCTCACGCTCTTTTACACACAGCCTACACACACTCTCTTCACATGTGAGAAGACACTCGCAATGAAGCAGAGGAGCTTAGCATTGTTGCTGGTGACACAAACAAAGATAGCAGTCGGCAAAACGACTTTTTACCCCTTGTTAAAAGCTCAGTCAGCACCTCGTTAACCTTTCCTGCAAGTTTTCAAATTCTGCAAACTGGTATAACCACGGAGATGCTTATTAGCAACCAATCAGAGCTGGGAGACAAACAGAGACTAATCTGTCCGACTGCAGACAAACATTTCAATACATTCGAGGTCACAGGTAAACAAAAATGTGTTTTAGCACATCTAAGTTTAGAAACGCTGAGGGAACAATCAGTACAGCACACAAGCCGGTCTCTTAGCAACAATAGTAAAGTAAAAGAACATTACAAATAGGGTTCGATCTTAGTTTAATACACTGACAAGTTGATGTAGTGATGTCGAATAAATCCACCCGTTTTTGCGTCAATATTTCTGCGAGCAAGCCAGGAGCCATCCTCTCAGAGTTTGATTTAAACTCAGTTGGAGCCTACCAGGTTTACATTTAGCTAATACGATGATAGCCCTCCAGCCACTTTCGTTTCGAGTGCTCTTTGGGAGAGCTGTGTCATAAAAAAAAACTACAAAATCAGCAGCAGTGTAGCGGTTAGCAGCTTCACTGAACACTAATGCAAAGCTCCCAGGCCTGGTGTTGAGACAGAGCAGGATAAAGACCCTGGAGCGGGGCCGGTAAGACATTAGCGGTGCAGGATAAAGGCCCCCTGAGGCTGTCGCTAAGCAAGGTCAGGCTGTCTGAGGGAAAGAGAGAAATAAGATACTTCAAACGGACCAAGGAGGCGGGTGACAGGAACCAACCTTTTGCGGCGATCTGGAAGCTGAGACGGGAGACTGCGACCTCATGTTTTTAGCCGAGGATCCTGCTGACAACCAGAAAAGAGACAGAGGGGGAAAGAAATTCAAATTAGGCAAGCGTTTACTTTCCTTTCACCAGGATGACACAGCGTGAGTCATGCAAACATACACACACAGAGCTGAGAAGGCCAGTGGCTGCCTTAAAGCATCCATGAATCAAATCTGATGTTCTGCAGGTCTGCCTTAAGCTGTTTCTACATCCAACAGCTGTTACTGCACTGTGCAATGAGGGCAAGGAGAAAGTGTGTGTGGGGACTCCATCTGCTTATCTAGCTTATTAGTCTGTTGTGTTCTACAATATATCAGAGAGCGCCCAGTAATAACTCAAGTCTATTGCATCTGTAAATAAGTAACAACTAAAATACAGTTTGAGTTGATGGTGGGGAAAACTGACGTTGAGAGGAAGAATCTGGGAACTGACTTTAATTCCAATCACTTAAGAGAGTCCTCAGAGACTTTCGGACGGTTTCTCATATCAGCAAATATCAGTATTTCAAGCCATTTAGTAAAGAAAATGCTGTTGCCATCTTGTGTGTGGGTGATATTAGGAGCAGCAAGCCAGGACAAAACAGTAGCCGAGAGCCTCAGATAGAAAAAAAAAGTCATAGTAGGAGGAAGTGGAGGAAGCACCAGGTGTCAAAAGCCGGAGTGGAAAGTTAGTGCCATTCTTCATTGGAGAATTCACCCCGATCGTCCGCATTACCTGAGTACGGTGGCCTAGGAGGTACAGGAGGGCATAGCAATTTGCCCAGAGAGTCAGAGATGGATGGAGCGCCCATTTTGACACTGTCTAGGCTCCAGCTACTGAATGTGGCTCTCACTTATGGTACACAGAAACATCACAAGTCACTACAACAGGTTATGGGATCACACAAGACAACACATTTCAGATGGATACTAATTATCGGGGGTGTGTGATGCATTCTGAACTCATGTTGGCCTGTGGAGGGAAAACACTGGGCTCACACGAAGAGGGAAGAGTGTATACATTGTCTGAAATAGAGTGTAACACAAGGTGTGTATTTTAAAAAGGACTGATTTCTGTATTTACCCTCTTTCTCTTTACTCTTGTTAGTGTGCAGGGCTGAAAAAGGGAATCTAGGGATCACAATTTAGATGTGCTAGCCTAATATCTTCTGCTAGGTTGCAATGCTTGATATTTTTTTATATCCAAAGACCCGAGCGTAACATAACTCTGGGACCTGTATGAAAACAGGTGCCTTGATAATTTCTACCTCCTATCATTAATAGAAAAAAGGAACATTGGTTTCAATTGTTGATGTTTCCAAGCTGTTCTGTTACAAAATGTTCACTGCAAACTATAGTCGAGTGGGCGTGCTATTTTAATACCTCTATATTTAGAATTGGAAGTTATAATTTATGGTTGAAAGCAGAAGATGTGACAAACAACACTTTCCACATTCACAGGTATTGTGTCAATTCTAGCAACTTAGGTCGTTGTTGTGTGCGTGAAGGTGTCATGTCACCGTATTGTGGCAGTTCATCTATCTATAACATGAAAAGGTGTGTTCTGGGAGTCACAAGGAAGCGCTCACATCCCCACTCTTTCCTCTTTACTTTAAAGTGTCTCTTCCAAACCCTCCTAATTATTTCACAAAGCGTGTGTGAGCATACACTCTCTCTACGTGTGCATTTTACACTTATAGAAGTTCGTAAAAAAGCAATCAAAATGTTCAATTTATTTTCTTTTTTGTACACACATGGGGGGGATAGCTTTCAATCTCAATTCACAGGAATACTTTCAGCTGGAAAATCATGAAATAGGCATCTCTCTACTTGTCTTCGCGGAGCAAAATGACAACCAGGGAGTTCACGTGATGGAAATGAATTCATACATATGAATGTCACACACGTCCATCATTGCTACGGGAATAATACCTCGCCTTTTATTACTTTTTCAAGATAAGGGCAGATGAAAAGCTGTGTTACTAGACATGGTGTCTGGTTAGGAGTCGAAGGAAAATGGAGCCCAGCTTGTGTGTATGAGTATATGTGTTTGTGTGAAAACAAACAAACAGTCAAACACACACTGCATGTCTGGACAGTTGACCCCCGACCTGATCGACTATATACTGTAAGTGTGTGTTAGTTTATTCTGCTTTCATAATTGTCAATCATAAGTCTGATGTAATGTTTTAAAGGGGCCCTAGTATGGATTTTTTTTTGGTTAATATTTGTATTTTGTGCCTCTACTGTGAAATGTTTCCATGCTTTAATGTTCAAAAAGGTCTTTATTTTTTCTCATGTCATAGAATATCTGTCTTTAAAAAAAAATAAAAGAAAGAACCTCCCTCTTCACCCCTTTTATATATTATGGGGGAAATTCTTACATATTTTATCTTGTTCTTTGGCAGGGTATACATTTGAGTAATGTACTGTAATTTGATGGAAATGCAAATATTTGTCAAAAAAGTGGCAGAAATCATCTTTTCTCTTTTTCAGATTAATGTATTTTTATGCATGGTCTTTGTTTAAAAAACACAAAATACAAAAAAATAAAGAAGATTATTCTTGCAGCACTCTTATGCTAACACTACACTAAAAGCAATGCAAGACCTGCACACCTCACTTTATTATTCTTATTCTGCTGAAGGAGATTCCCAAGGTGAGAGTGCATTTGGAGGGGTTGAACATTGAGATTAAATATAGTGTTTTACCTTTGTCTGGTGCTGAGAGGTTGGGGTCACTCCGTGGTAAAGTGGTGTCGCCTATCTGATGAGGAGCAGCTCTCTACACACGGAAATAAAGTCAAAATGACAGTTTAATACATACAGAGTTGATTTGAGATAACATAGGACTGTTCAAATAAATATCAAAAAGGTGTGATTTTTCTCAGAAATTCAATACAATCAACATCAGATTCAGAGGGGAAACAGTGCTGAGTGACCTTTGTGTCTAGCTGTGGTGTGATATTTGTATAAGAGTGTGAGCATCCCCCCTCTATCCTCAAAAACATAAATCTATTTGTTCCTACCCCGGTGCTCTAGTGACAGAAATAGACACACAGGATCAATGTTTCCAATAATCAATGTTCCATTAGCAGCTAATAGCTGGTTGCTGATCTAAAGTTGGATATAATCATGAGGTCTCCTTACATCTGTAGACTTGAAACACAGAAAAACAGATGAACTGAAGCTCGAGATGAGAAGCCTTGAGAAACAAACACATTATTCTTACAGTAGCTCCGTCACTGAGGATGGAGTGGGTGATTGCGTTACAAACAGCCCTTCAGCTAAAGAAGATAACGCAATATCAGGCTCTTCTTGTTGGATCTAGCTGAACTGGGTGTTTTAAAAAAAAAGAATTTTCACTGAAAATGGAGCAAAGCTGGACTGCTGCTCTTGATACAATGAAAGTCTCAGCTACAGCAAGCCTCATTAGGCGCGTTCACACCAAGTACTTTTCCCACAAAGGTTCCTGAGAACTCTTTAGTTCTCATGAACTAAGTACAGATCGTGTTCACACCAGAAATTAGTCCCTCGGGGTGGATTAGGCAAATGAAGCCGCTGACGTCACTTCTTCTTCTTCTGCTTTGGGTTTACTGGCAGGACTCCCAGCAGCTTCTACTGAAGCCTTCCGAGTAAACGGCCAGAACGCCGACACCTCCTCATCTCCACCGCTCCCATGTTTTATTTTGAGTTGTCATTAGTTAGTCTCTCTGCGTTTCTGCGCTGGGCTAATGCTAATGCTAATAATGCAATGCGAGGATAATAAAATGGCGGCTTCACAAACGTTTTTGGGAGTTTGACGGGGCGTGGTTTGCATTCCGCCCAGCCAATCAGACACAGGAACCTTTTTCTCCCACGAAAGTCCCTGCTCTCTAGCAGCGACTGAAAAGGGGGTAAAAAAGGTTCTCTAGAACTCATTTACTTCCTGGGACTTTTTGGTGTGAACGCAACTAAATCGTAGTTCTCAGGAACCTGTGTGGGAAAAGTACTTGGTGTGAACGCGCCTATTGCACCTGCTTTCGTTCAGGTGGCGTTTTTGCGTAGGTATGAAGTGAGAATGTCTGTTAGATACAAAAATGACCTTGATTTCTGCCTTGTCTTCATTATAAAGAGTAAAGTATCGTGTATGTCGTATTCCAATTAACACAATCACACATTTCTCAAACTTAAAAAGATACAACTAATTCTTAGGGTCTTTGTAGATAGCTTATTCAAGAAGTATCTTGCAAATAAAATAATGATGCTTGATAGAATATTCTAATATTTATCAGAAACCCTGCCCTCCAAATTGCAGAGGAATATTATTTATTTATTTAGTATTTGTATCGACTATTTAATTATATTTTATTATTTTATTTATGTGTATTTATTTATTTAATAATTGCATTAACTATTATGCACTGTTAATTATTGTTATTTATTTTCAATACAATTTAATATTCTTTTTTACTTTATGTATTTATTTCATTTTCTCAGATTTTCTCTTGCTTTTTGGGAAAAATGTCATTTTGGTTAAACTTGTTTCTTGATTATTTTTTAAGGTAAGGTTAAGGGAGAATTACAAAAATATAAAAATAACATTTAGGAAAAAACATTGATGAGGCCGAGTTAGCACCATTAGAAAATGCAACCATCTGTAAGAGCAAGTGAGAGAAAAACACAATACTCCATTACGATCCTAAAAAAACAACAACACCAACACCCAGTGAGGGAATGTCCATCTGCTTACAGTGTGGACAGTGCTTTCTCCATTCTGTATTTTCTAAGTTACTTTATATAGACACACAGATGGCCCTCAACGCTACAAAACCCACTAGCCTTGGCCTCTGTTGCTATGGAGAAGTAGAGCGGTAGTGAAATCAACAACACAACAACAAATTAAAAACAACAAATCAACAACACAGCAACATAGTGTATTATATATATATATATAAATCTTATAATACATTTACACACAAGAGTATAGATACTCTTGTGTGTAAATGTATTATAAGATTTCTCCACCTCTAATCTTCCGGATTTTCCTGCAGAATATAAAGTATGGTGTCTTTCCAAAAATGCACCTTGGGAGTAAAAGAGTGGCAGCTTCAGATTTTTACCAAAGATATGTGCTGATGCTTTTCTGCAGCTTTTGTACTGATGAGCCAACTGAGTTACATGCAGTGCTTCGCCTGTGAGTCACATGTCATTGTCTACGGAGAAAAAAGACTCGGAATAACCAGCAGTGATGCCTGAATTAGCGCCTCCTACTCTATTCCTCTTTATGAGGAATGAGGAATGAGGAATGAGTCCTAAAACCAGGAAATGAGTCAGCATTTAACCACTTTCGGTTCCCTCGTCTTGAATTCAATGATTATTTTGGTTAACACAAGCAGAAGAAATGTTAACGGTGTGTTCTACGACACAAAATGTATAAGTATATACCTCACTATACTCAGTGAAGCTTCTATGTGTCATAGAGTGACTTAATGAGACTACTAAACATCATCATGCCAAACATTAGCCGCCATTAGCCGCCTTTAGCTTAGCGCTGTTGACGTGAAGTAATGCGGCCGTGATGTAGTTCCTTGTAGCCTTATGCTAGCTTTTACTTTTGCCTTTTCATTTACGCTTCAACAATCATAAAGTGGTGTTAATATGTGACGGTTGTCCTTCTGAACAATTCATTTTTTCTGCAATATACCGAAATCCCCCCCCAAAAAAACAGTGCTTAGGTTGAGGGACCCCTTGCGATGCTAACATGCTAAATGAGCCCTCTGCTCTGGCTCCCTTGAGCTTAGACAAAAATAAGAAGGAAATAAAATACAAATATTTGTAGGACTATTTATATTTTGTTGCACAGTTGAAAATGTTTCGTATCTTGTATTTTGAGGTGATACTGTGACACATACAAATATCAAATAAACGGTTTTAATTAGGTCAACTAAAATATGCGTCACACATCCTGCTACGGTCCCGCGCCAGCGCCTTTTCTTGCAGGCGAATAACCTGACCCCCGGCTCCATGAGCGAACTATGGATAAATCAAAGAAAATCGGAAGAACACAGAGGGTTTAATTCTGCGTGGACAGAGTTATCTGCTTTCACAGCAAACGATGCTGGCTTACCGGTATGTTTGATACGTGGAGAGAAGTTGTCAAAGGTGCTGTAGCCTTTACGTATTGGAGGAAAAACACGGAAGAGGAAGCCAGCTGACGATCTTCAGTCATAATTCAATCAGATAACTATTTTTAGGATGCAGCTATATGTTTTAATTATTTCAAAGTGGTCCCATTTTAAATTATATTAATTTCCTTCAAATGTGCAGAAGACTCCCCAAGTGCTGTGTTGATTTATTTTAAAGTAGGCCTGTGTATTTTTATTCTCCTTATAAGAGGTCTTTGTTTATTATTAGAGGTAAACAGTTTTCTGTAGTTTTTGTCTATGATGTAACAATATATAAAACTTTATAAGCTATCAAGCTATCAAATATGTTTTGCGGCTCCAGACAGAAAAGATAGGTGGAAAAGGGGGCAAAATGGCTCTTTTTTGGTCAAAAAGGATGCAGACCCCTGCCTTAGTGGGTGTCTAGAATGAATGTGTGTGTATGTGTTCACCTGTGCAGGGTCCAGGGGGTTGGGGAAGATGGCGCTGACCGGTCGCTCTCTGGGAGACAGACAGGTGTTTTCTCTGGAATGCTTGTGTTTCTCTGCCATCTGGGGGGAACCTGGAATGGCAGCGTGAGACGTTAGAGCGCTAACGCACACACTTACACACCGGCACACACAAAAGCAAGAGCAAGTGTATCACATAAGGGGCCAAATAACAGCAAGGTGTTAGACTATTACCCACAAACACTGGCAATCAGGAAAGGCCAATCTCTTTTCTCCCTCCAAGACTCTCCACCATTCTTTCAGCCTCACTAGCTCTACGACATGATAAATGGCCTGCCTTCTCTTCACACACACACACACACACACACACACACACACACACACACACACACACACACACACACACACACACACACACACACACACA